AGCTTAAGCAATAAATTGCAATTAACTAACATTTTATTTTTAATTCAAAATTTTAGAAAATAGTGATATAATCTTGATAACCTCACTTATACATTTTGTCTCCTAAATAATTATAAAATAAATATTTAACATAAGAAACTAAGCGTTTCAATTCTATCTTGATTTTGTCCAAAAAAATTTAGATTAGCTAATACTGAAAATAATTTCAAGTATTTTTGTTTAATCCCATATTCCTTTTGTCATCATTCTTCTTCTCTTTCTTCAATTATAGTTTCTCTTGAAAACATGATTTATGTTTGACATAAATCTGATTAGATTTAGACTTTAGTTTCATGATTGAAGCATGGAAATTAAGATCAGTCAATCCTAAATATATCTGAGGCCAAGTTGATAGAATTAAACCAAACTCGGTATAAAAACTTAATATAAGTTTGCAATTGTATTATCTCATAATGATTGAATTATAGGTTTAATAGGGTTTGCACTCGAAGCATCATTCCTTTGAAAATTTTACTACATAAACTTGAATACCTTAGTTTAATGTTTATGTTAATTAAATTTTCTGTGTGATAACTTTTGGATTCAAGTTTCAATCGTTCTTTGGTTTGGTCCTTTTTCTATATTCATGTTTTATCCTAGCATGAGAAGAAAATGTTTAAAAGTAAGCTTAGTTATTGACTGGTCTTTTCTTCTAAAAATTGAAGAGAAATTGTGGGTCTTAGTCATATGTTGTTTAAATGTGTATGTCAGATGACTTTTTGTTCGTCTATACAATTTTTATTTTTATCTCCTTTTATCATTATTTGATAAATTTATATTTGAATTAGACTTTGTCATTGTTATGTTACAAAATTAAGGTTAAATATTTGACATTGAAAAAAATTAATCCTAAAAATTTCTAAATATAAGTATGAGATAAGTAAGGAGTCAAATAGAATTTGTCTTGGGTTCATTTACACTGTAATGTCCATGCTTTTACAAGTAGTTTGAGAAAAATTCTAATGAAATGAGTTTAGTGCTATAGTATTTGTGCATGATACATAATTTTTTTTATTCTACCTCACACTTTATCAAACTAATATGTTTTCAAGCAAATTGTCTTCTTTTTTTTTTCAAAACACATTAGATGAATTATTTTTATCAACTTAGAACCCATAGTGACAAAAAAAAAAAGTAGGACTTCAATGAATAAATTGTAATAGCTAAAAACATAAAGGTTTTTTCAAATTTAAACAAAACGATTTTGATTCCACATATATGTTACTATTAATCATCATAAAACTAAAGTCCAAGATCATTAACATGCATAGCGAGAGAAGGATAGAAAATTGAAACAGATTCTAACTTAGAAACATAGGGAGGAAGTTAAAGTTGCAACAAACAATTAGAAGTTAAAGGTACAACAAATTATGAACACTATTTGTTATATATGAGATAGAATACTTACCTCATTTTTAGTATTTATTAGTACTTAAAATTTTTAGATATATTTCTTTTAAATTGTATAAAATTGAGATTCCTCTTTATAATTGGAGAATAAATTATCAGCATTTATTGTGGTGACGTGATACTTGGTATAATAGTTTAGAAATAAGAGTATCATTTAGGTTGTTGTTTAGATTTATATTCATCCTTAACTAAAAAAGATATCTGAGTAACATATATTTAAGTTATACAAGACATTTACGAGAAGTAATTACATGTGTGAGAATCTTAGAAATTTTCAATAGGAATAAGTTTACATCAAGACTCTATTTTGAGTTCTTACTTGTTTAATATAATTTTAGATGTGATTAAAAGTGACATACAAAATATTATCATTTAGTGCATGCTCTTTGTAAATGATATAGTGTTAGGTTAGGGATTCAAAAGAAATGTTAGTGCTAAACTTGAGTTATAAAGGGAGATTTTAAAATCTAATAATTTTTGCTTGAGTACAAGTAAGAAAGAATGCATTGTAGGTCTAGCAAAAAACAAGATTAGAATTATGTGTTGAAAGTTAAAATTATAGATGATGTTATACCACAAGTTTCTAAATACTTGGGATCGATTGTACAAAATGATGAAAAAATGAATGAATATGTTACTCACAAAATATAAGTTGGGCAATTCAAGTGAAAAAGATATCAAGAGTTATTTGTGACTGTAAAATACGAGTTAAGATAAAAGGAAAGTTTTACTATACTATAATATAACTATCCATCTTATATGGTAGTGAATTTTAAGCCTTGGAACAACACAAAAAGAAAGTGGAAGTAGCAAAAATGATAATGTTAAGATGGATGAGTGAACACAAGAGAAAAGATAAAATATGAAATAACAATATACGAGAGAATATTAGAACAACACCTACAATGAAAAAGATAATTAAAAATTGACTGAAGTAGTTTGATTATGTGTAGATAAGATCTTTGGAGACAACAGTAAAAATAGTGGATTGCATAACTTTTAGTCAGATGAAAAAGAGTTGATGGAGATCCAAAAGAACCTTAGATAAAATTATTAAAAGAAACCTTTTGCTTAACCAAATTTTTAAAAATTTAGTTTTTAATTTATCTCAAATTTTCAATGATGTCATGTGATCTATATAATCAATTTCATTTAGTAGATAAAGCTTGGTTGTTATTGGTTTATTACTTTATTAAAGAGAATATTAAGAATTCTATTAAATAAGATAAAAGGTCATCAACATAAGAGATCATTTTGATAAATACCTTTGAATGTTTGCTATTTAAATTTAAATTGAGAATATTTTAACTTAAATTTTACCTCATTGAAACTTACTAAAATCTTAATAACTTTTTCATTCACATTTGATTTACTTTAATTGCTCAAATTTAGAATAAGAGTGAGCTTCTTTATCTAAAATTTGCAGCAATTGTGGAAGAAAATAAATTATTATAAATAATTCTTGCAATGTAATATAGAAAGATTAATTGGTGAGATCATGCTCTCATCGGGCTTGACTAGATTGTTCCTTATTACATTATTCAAAAAAAATTACTATTTTTTCTTTTGCATTGGAACTGAGAGGATTGACTTAATTTTTAAATTCTTACACATGCGATAATTTAACATTTTAAAAAGTAATTTTTGGTTCATCAAAATTTTTATATATGTTACACATCCTAAAATAATTTTTTTATCCAGAATTGAAATGTATTAACAATATACAGTGATTTTGTTATGTTGGAAACAAGTCAATGAATAGATGCATCCCCATTTTTAATGGTCAAAATCGTAACTTTTTTAAATTATGTTACAGTATTTTATTTTAATGATAATATAAATAAATATTAAATTTTAAATAATATATCTACATATATCTAATTTATATGAAATTTGATATGCATAATCATAAAAATAATATAAAATTATTAAATAATATAAATGTTCAAGTTTCACACGTTATCAACGGATTCTATATGTATAAGACAAACGATTATCTTCTAAAAAGGAAAAAAAAAATTACCCTTACTAATACATATGAAAACAAAATGTTAGATCAAACACACCCCACTACCACGCGTCCTTTCTTTTTTTTACTTGATTGAAAATACAGCAGAAATTGACTAGTAGATGGTTGAAGTGGCCCAATGGGTCCATAAGGCCACCCAATTGCAGTCAAATCTAGGGCCCAAAAAGGACCCAGCATGTCCCAAACCAGTAAATAAAGGTCAACACGTAAAGGAATAAAAGGCCCACATGATGCTATGGATGGGCCCAATAATCAATTATTAGTTGGAAGAAAGACATACAGTTCTCAAGCTGACGTCAATATGTCGGAAATGGTTAGCTGTTAGAAAGATAATGGGGCCCACTCTAAATGGCATTGTCATTTTCATGGACCACTGCAATTGTATGTTTAGGGGCCAATAAAATCATATTCCTTTTGAACATAATTTATTTTCCACAGCCATAGTCAGGTTTCTCCTTTATCACGATTCCATTCGTTTATCTCTGGAGGATGCAAAAAATGGGTTTAGTAAGAGGTAATTTTTGACATTTTCTTTACAGAATATCAGCTGTAAAGTTCTTCGAAAATAACGTGCATTCAAATAAATCTTGCATTGTTAATTGGTTTGAAAGTCATTTTTCGGTAAATTTTAGAGTCCAAGAACCACAGTTCATTCGCAGTTCATGACTGACCCTAATCTGATAGAACTTGCACAAGGATTGAAACACAGATCCTGCTAAATAGATTGACACGTGAATGCAATAGAATCTTAAACCACTATGCTAACTTCAAATTATTTTTTTATATGCATGGCAATTGATGTAAAATTTTAATACATTTTTCATTTTCCATAATTTATCATAATAAACATACGAATGTGTTTTCGGAAAAAAGATACAATTCACAAACTAAACAATGTTGAGTATCATGAGTCATAACATGATTTCCCTTGTGATAACTCAGTAGAGGCGTAGTAATAAGAAGAATTGGCAAGTTCAAATCCTACAATACATCAAGCTCCAAGGCATACCATGAAAAATGAGAACCTTAAAAAACGAGAACTGTAACGAACCCCAAGCATACGGTATGACGCTACACTTCAAAAAAACACTATCGACCCCGATTCATTAAATGCTAACTTTTAATTTTAATCTACACTGAATTTTAGTGTAAATGCGACACATTTGTGAACATGACTTCGCCTTTTCCCTTTTAATCTTTACATTACTTCAAAGGTGTGAATAAACAATGTAGAAAGAAAAAGAAAAAACCCACTAAACCTTTTAAATAACATGCAAGGCCATAACTATTGCTATAAGTGGGCTCTTTGAGCCTTTTTATATTCACTGGACCGAAAAAACACTAAATCTACACATATCTTGGGAAATATTCTCACCTTGGCATGCATGCTTTGAACACCCAAACTTGACCAAAAAACTAAACACCCAAACAAAATGTACCGTTCAAATAATCTCTCAACACTTTTGTTAACCATGAAATCCGAAGGAAGGGCAATCTTTTTGAAGTGAAAAAGACTTGTATCAAACAATGGGGATCCATGATATTGGAATCTTTCATTCAAATTAATGACTAACAGTTCTATTTCTGTGAGCACCTGAATTCTTAGTTGAGGTACAGATCAAGTCACAAATTCCCACCAAAAAGGGGACCCCTCCCAACAACCCAAAAAACGGGGATTGCAACTTACACATTGTTTGCCATGCTGCCCATGTAGGTTACCACCAAAGGTTTCCCAAGTCATCATCGTCTTCAATTCCTAAATAGTAGACAGCGATTAATGTAAGCCTGCAAATAGAAAATTGGGAGAAAAATTGACCTTCAGGTTCCCTGAGGGAGCTAAAAATATCCAGCCATGAAGAATGAAGCTTGCAAGAATAATTGTAGAACATTTTAGATACCAGATGGAAACAGTTCATTTCATTTTTCCAAGGATATTTTTAAAAAGCACCATAAGAGAAAAAAAAGAAGGAAAAATATTCAAATTTATAGGTCAAGAAGGCAAGTGAAAACATGCTTAAGTTTCTTTGGCACAACATCATCTGAAATGGTTTATAGGAAAAATGTTTTTCATGTTTCATCTGCGACCTTAGCCCCCTCACAAACTCCCACCCAAAGTCAACTAGTGATTTACGAAGCACGCACATTGACATATATACTAGATACAGAAAATTCTCATTCCTATGGTAAGGAAAAGGATAATACTAAAATTTAGGAAATAAGAAGATAGTAGCAACAAGATACACACAGAAACTCACATATCTCGTTTCCATTATTACAAAATGCTAACTTGCCTTCGCACTATCTTAGTAGCATGCTAATAACCAAAAATACATTTGGGAATTAGGAGACCAAATTAATGCAAAGTTATCATGTGCTTAATATCCAGTCAAAGAAAATTCAAAGTTCTCTTTATTTCTTAACCAAGGAAGAGCTAGGGTAAAGGTAGGACCTGGGGAAAGTGCACAGGTAGCCCCATGAGGAGGGAGAGAGGGAAAGAAGATGGAACATGAAGCAGATTGCATTGTGGGACGGGAACACTCATTACATGTTCCACAGCTCTAACAACTGAGCAGACTCAAGGGAATCAAGGTTTTCAGTTTAAAACATAAATACATGATTTTAGAGACCCACAAGAGCCCCAAATTGTGTCGATCAAATAGTCAATTGCAGGCTCTGCAGCCTATACAGTCTGGATAATATGATCACGAGAGAGCAACCAAGCAGTTTGTTAAGGGAAGAAGTTGGTATAAGGAATATAATTTAGAAATTCACAGCACACCATGCTAAAGGGTTTCATTAACCTCGTAATAAAGGTAAATTTGGCACACACTAATATGCTCTAGTACTCAAGATTTTAACGACTAACAGAGACAAGTCATGTAATCTAGACTGATGAAATTACAAAGACTATAATTAGGATATGAAATGACAGATTTTAATGAATGGGACGGTGAAAAGATATTATCTCTTCTCAAGGAGACATTTAAGTCCCCGAACAAAAGGCTAATAGGAATAGGATTATGCTTTGATTCTTTTAGTTACTTTTTACCAAGGAAACAAATTGAATTACTCCATAGGCAAAATGTAGCATGTTGTGATTCAATTAGCTAAAGCAGAAAATGTTCTTTTATGCAACCTATAACAAGTTGAAGCCCTCAAAATGGAATGCCATGCGGTTTTTTATTGTTTATTATGCATAGACCTCACACAACTCAGCCTATGGTCTCATAGTCAATCTCAAACTCAGGTAAAGGAGAAGGGTTGTATTCAGTTTTTACCGGAAAGTAACATAGACTATATGACTTGAAAACAATGTTAAATGAGCTAGAGTCACTACATCAGCATCCAAATGTAGTGTTAAATAAGCAAGGATTTACACATTTATCTAAATGAACATAGATAAAGAAGTTAGAGTGCTAGATTTAATACTTTAAATATTGGTACTTCCATAAATAAGTCTTTAAAAGTGGTAGAGACCATGATTCGAACAAGGATTAACATCATTTACCTTCAAAAAATTAAATGAGTTGGAAAAAAAAACTAAGGAGCTAGACACTTCAGAATGTAAGCAGTGGTACACAAGAAAAGTTAGAAAAAAGAACAAGATTGGGAACAGGTTCTAATCATTTGATTTAATGGTTGCATGAGAGACTCTCAATATCATCAATTTCCATCCTCACAAGTGGGTTGGTAAGCTTTTTTGAAGGAAAAGCTTTCAAAAGATTTGGAGGGGTTGGCTCAAAACATTACCCAAGAAAAGATTTTCATATGTATCTTATAGAAATTTACATTGGTTTTGGTTTTGGACAGCTAAATAAGGAAAGACAAGTTATTATTGATTTCGTAATAAAAATATGATTTCAAGATTGTGAAAACTTGCTTTAAAAAGCAACAAGAACGTCTAACCACCAATAAAAGAGTTTAAAAGAATTGTAAGGTAATTCTAGCAGACAGCCTCATTACAAAACATAGGGTATTGGCCTTTGTTGTTCATTTCAAGAGATGTAAACAAAGAACCCAACAAGTTGTAGATCCTAAAATCAAGTAGTGACAACTCAAAGGTGACATATATATGATTGACTTTTAACAAGTTATTGGAAGAAGCTAATTGAGAAGCATAAAGTAATGCTAAAAACATTTGAGATGAGATATTTAAGAAGGTTAGGAGGGTTATTAAGGCTTTATTTAGTAGTTAGTATTTTAGGGACAAGGGAGGGAAGAGACAGGCTTTTGTGTGATTATAATCCTTGTTTGGGAGTTTTTAGATGAGAGGGGAGGTTTTATAAACCCTTTAAAAACCTCCTAATTTCATGTTCTTAAGTTCTCCCAATTTGGAAGATTTTGTACAAACCATCCTTCCTCCTCCCCTCCTTTCCTTCTCGTACCCTTCAAAATCATTTCTTCTCTCTTCTTCCAAACTCTCAAACAAAGTCTAAAGCAATATTAAGTGAATCCAAAGTTTTGGTTTGGGAGATAAAATCTTAGTGGTGAATTGAAAACAAGCATGAAAAAGATAAAGACTAAAGAAAGTATGTTAACGTTTTACACATGCAATAATGCAAAAATTTGGATAATAACAAAACATTAGAAATGAGACAAAGAAAGCTATGAGGGAGGCACAATTCCAGGCCTTTTAAGAATTTTATTGAGATTTTGGAACAAATGACGAAAAATAAAAGATATATAATTTTGCCAAAAATAGGCAAAGAAAATCAAGAGATTTGGATAAAATAAGATATATCAAGGATAGAGAAATAAAAATTTTATTTACAAATCAAGATTTCAAAGAGAGATAAGAGATCTACATTTATAAATTTTTTAATGATGGGCAAGAATTGACCAATCATACAAAAGGATTAGGAACCCAAGTAAACAAATAAAACTTGGCAAACAATCACAGAATTTTAAAAAGTAAAAGAAGCCTCTAAAAGGATAGATAATGGTAAATCTATTAGTTCTTATAGTATTCCTATTGAAGTTTGAAAATAGATAGGAGAACAAGGCATTATTTGACTCACTTGATTTTTAATAAGATTTTAAGACCTAATAAAATGCCAAATGAATAAAGGAAAAACACTTTGGTTCCTATGAGCTTGCACATGACAATGCAAGCAGAGGGTGACCAGTTAGACTAGGAAGCAGAAATACTCAAGAGGGTTGAAACACTGAGGGAAGATGTACAGCTGGAATTCCCATGCCGAGCAATATTCTCTCTTTCTCTCTCTTCTACTTTTGCATCTTCATCTCTCTCTCTCTCTAAATTCCCCCATATTCTGTTTCTTGATTTGTATAATGCTTGAAATTAGTTAACAATGGAGATTGGTTGATTCTTCATTGAGAATATCAAATATACAACAATACAAATGAAGTGGAATGCTGCTTTTTGGATTGGGAGCCATTTTATTTGGCAGAAAAGAGGCAGGTACAAACAGGGGAGGATAAGATATTCTCCAAAACATAAAAACTAAAAGTGGAATTATGTCAATGAACAAAAAAATGAGACAATGAAATTAAAAAAAAAATGAGACAATTACTATAATGCATGAAAGATGACAAAATATTTTGACGATTTATATGGTGCATGTAGACAGAGACACACCAGCATTCTCATGTGTATGCATATGAGAATGACAAAAACCCAAATGCAATTTCACAACTTAATAATATTGGAGACCAAAAGAATTAGGAAGGAAAAAAATAGTAGGATAGGGACTAGTCAAGAAATTTTAATTACAGGGTTCTAAGAGTTTCTGAAGCCATGGCAGCTAAATTGGTTGATTGCCTAGTTAAAATAAATATTAATATAATAAAGAACAGTGTAGATTATATGTTTCAGGAAGGAGGATTAGAAAATTCCCTAGAAGATTTGCCCAAATATCTAATTCTTGATTCAAACTTGAAAGTGCAGAATATTTTTCTTCCTGCAGCAAGAATCCTAATTAAAGGCCTTAATTAGAAAAAGAAATAGACACAATGTAAGCAGTAAGACTGTGACACCAAAGCATCGTAGATACGCATTAAGCATATGCTATTTTAAGGGTGTGACAAACCTGAAGATGGTGACAATGAGAACCACTAAGTACAAAGCAAGTTTGGCTATCCGAAATTTCTTCTCAGCATTAAGTACCCTAAACACTTCAGTAACATCAATAAGATGCTCTCTTTTCACATACCTAAATCATTGAAATGACATAATCATGACAAAAGAACATAAAATGAGTTTATAAGTTCTAAATGGAAGTACAAAACAATATAAGTACAACTGTACAACACAAACTAGTTAAACATATCAAGGTATTGTCATCGAAATTTCTTATCCAATATGTATATCATCCCAAAATAATTCATCATTAATTTAAATATGAAAGTTGGAAAATTTTTAAACATAGAACTGTCCCTCTTAAGTTGCATGGATCGAAGATTCACTTTATTTTATAAAACCAACAAACAAAGTTAACAAACTAATGCAACACAAGTTCATTTCATTAACACAACACAACTAGTACAGTTAACAAAATAATAGCTCAATAATGTAAAGTAGTAAACTATAATGTCAAAAAATAAACAATAAACCTCATAAGGCTAAACAAAAGAGTTTAAACTTTAAAGAATTCCATCTAACTTGTCATCATGAAATATCTGCTAGGACCCATCTTTTAAAAACCTATATTTAACTAACAGACTTTGGATGGTTCATCATCCATCCAATAATAAATGGTGATCAATCTAACTCATCCATTGAGTTTTATTTTTATAATTGGATGGGTTGGTTGGATTTATGAATGGACAGATTGAATGGTTAATGAATAAAAGGATTGAATTGCCATACCTAGCAGACACTGATGAAGTAAAATTTCAGAGTGAGCCTATTTGCTAATTTAGTAAATTTTTCACAGCAACTTTTCCAGCAAGACAAAGCATCAGCACCTAACACTGTTTCAGATTTTAAAAGGAAATACTATTGCCTCCTAGGCTAAAACAAGTAGAACAGAATATTCTCCAACAAATCAAGTCTCATGAAGTGCAGTGGATTATTGATTCAGGCACTAGAGATTGCATGACCAGTGCTCAAGTCTTGAAATTTTTAATCACTAGTCAATGATAGATTCGAACATTTTGGTCTTAGTGGCAGATGAAGGATCATTTTAGCCGAGGGATAAGAATAAAGATCCATAAAATTTATTTTTCCCCCTTCAGTCTGCATTAAATGTACCAAAATAAAAACATGATCTATCCCCTAGACATAGACTGGTCAAGGAAATGAATTGTAGTTTAACAATATTGTCAACTCATTGTGTTTCCCAGGACCTTTTTTTGGGGAGGACAAGTGACAGCACTGAAGAGAGGGAAGGTTTCTACTATATTACTGGCTGTAGTCCTCCTTCTAGGATTAGATCCCCAGCCTATGCTGTTTCAGTTTTTTCTATCAAAACAGATTCTAAGGTACTCATAGGGCACTATTGTCTAAGTCACCCTAGCTTTCCCCACTTAAGTGTAGCCTCATCTTTTTGTAATAAAAACAATATTATTTTCATGTGAGAATTGCATCCTTGCAAAACAGACAAGAAATTCATTCTATGCCATATAATAAACCTAAACCACTTCATTCCGTACATGGTATTACTTGGGAACTGACATGAATTCCATCATTGACAGGAAAAAAAATGGTTCATCACCGTTTTTAATGACCATTCAAGGTCTTGTGGGGTATTCTTTATCGTTGATAAATTAGAAGCTTTCCAAATTTTTCAAAATTTTCATTATCTGTGCTTAATGTCTTCCAAACTACAATTCAGATTTTCAAGATTGATGATGGAAAGGAATATCTCTCAATTTATGTCATCCAGTATCTCTTCTCCAAAAGGATCTTTCACCAAACTTCTAATGCACATACTCCATGGAAAAATTTTTGGATAAAAATAAGCAAAGGAAATCAAGATATTTGGATAAAGTAATATGTATCTAGGATGAAGAAGGAAAAGTTTTGGTTACAAATCAAATATCAAAGAGAGATGAGAGATCTACTTTTTACAAATGTTTCAATGATGGTTTGTTTGGCCTATCAATAAAACAATAAATGCAGAGTGCCAGCCACGGCCAGAGGAAACCAATATTTCCACTTACACAAAAGTCAGACCAATGCACAACTATTATCACAATCACATCACACAAGTAATAACTTCACCCTCTTGATTCCCCAACCAAAGCAGATCCGTGCAGGCATCTACATAGGAAAAATAAAATAAAATCTAAATATAAAAGTTCCCCTGAAAAGTGTTTGGTTTTCAGTTCAGATTAATTCCTTAAAAATTATCACACATTCGGCATCAGCAACAGAAAACATCACATCTAAACAAAGCAATAAACACAATGTCATGCCAACAACACATTGTTCACTTTCATCAGATTAAAAAAAAAAAAAGAGCAACAAGAACAAGTTCACTTACAGCATGACATGATAGCAAGTAACAGGAACTGTGAGCAAAAACATGAACCAGTGACCAGTGAAGAGGCAGAGAGCACACAACGCTCCTTGTCCAATGAACTCAGGAAGAACGAAGTAGTTAATCCGGGACGAAGCATCGAATGGGTTGATATAATCAGCTTCCAAATCAGATAGGATCAAAACCTTAAACAACAAAATTAATAATAATAATAATAATAATAATAATAATAATAGATTTATTTAAGCTAAAAAGATCACATCACATCAAAAAGAAGGATGAAAGGTAGAAGACCTGGTAGAAGGTTAAAGCGAGAAGAGCAATGTTGGTAGGGAAACAAATCGCGAGCCAAAAGAGGAGATTCCAACCCATTTATTTACAGAGAAGAGAAGAAAAGGAGCAAAGTAGGGTTTTGTGGCCGTTGGGAACAGAAACTATTCGAAATTCAAAGCAGTGTTGATAAAATACTATATGCGAGTTCCCCAGCATGAATCATTACGGTTAACTTCATTAGTGCCTGTCCGGTGCTTGTTTTAAGATTCATAACTGAGATTAATCTAATTCATATTTTAATTATCTCATGTAATTTACTGTTTCGCCAATTAAATAAATGACACTTCATTCAATGAAAAAGTAAATGTCACATCAAATATTATAAATCTTAAATTTTTATCAATTTTTCTAATGATATTTATACTAATAAATTGCTATTTCGTCGTGTCTTAATACTCACATTTTAACGTCATCTTAAATAAAAGAACTGTTTTAAAAAAAGTCAAAAATCAAATAGATTGAAAATTTTAAAAAAGTCCTATTGAATTAGATTAAATTTCAAATTTAATTTTAAAATTGATTCAGTTTTATTCAAATTAAATTTGTATGCACATATATACTTTTATTTATAAAATGAAGTGAAAAGGGGTTGTTCTTTTACAAGAACATTAATTCACAGGTCTACAGAAAAGAACATACCCTAGAAAAATGTTCCACCCAAAAACTACATAATCAGACAAAGAATTATATTACATTACCACCTGTCTTATTACTTTACACCAACATAATCATACTGCGTAGTTAGTTTCAAAGACCAACAATGATATCTACCTTAGGACACAGCCACATTATCCTTGCCTAGAAGGACCGAAACAAAACATGATCTATACGCCAGTATGAGGAGACCACCACTAAGAAATTGAATTAGGTTTCTACAATGAAATATTAGCATCAATATTTACTTGATGTATACTTGGATGGATGTTAAAAGTTTTAAAATTTCATTTTAATATATTAAACGTCAACTAAAATTGGTGTCATTATGTTTGTCAATTTTATAACAATTTTGCTTTTAAGTCAATATGATAAATTATAATATCTGTATTGAGTTAAAAAAATTATATAAAATTTTTACTTACAAACTTACTTTTAAGAGAAATTTTTTTAACTATAAATATATTTTATAAAATTAAATTTATTCAAATTAATGTTTAGAGACACTTACTCAAATTTATATAGATAATTTTAAAAATATAATAAAATTTATACTTTATTCACTAAGAATGATATAACTCATTCATCTTTATTCTTTACTTGAAACTCAAGTTATTAAATCAAGTGATATAAAAAAATATAATTTATTATCTCTCCAAAAATATTAAAGATATTTCAAATTATTTATTGGTTTAAGTATATTTTTAGTCTTTATAAATATTGAATATTTTGCAATAAATCTTTATAATTTTTTTTGTTAGAATTTAGTCTCTTTTGTTAACTCTTTTTTGTTAAATATTAAGCTAGCCGATAGAAAATCAGCTTAATACTGTCACCACATGACTTACCACATTATTTATTTTATTATTTAAAATAAATATTTATAAACAAATCCTTGAACATATTTTACATATTTACAAAAAAAAAAAAATTCTCTTCATCCCCAACTCCCTCCCTCGTTAGTAGCTGTTGGCGCCCCATCTCTCTTCACTTCCAACCTTCAACCCCACCCTCAACCTCCAACTTCTTCACTTCAACTCTAACCTTAACTTTCACCCCTTTTTCCTACCTCACCCCACCTCTTTCCAGCACCTATTCTTCACTCTCATTCTTCTCCTACCCCCACCTGGCACCCTTCCATCTCCTTTTATACTATCCACACCCCTCACATTACTCAACTCCAACCCCTTTCCACATCCTAATCTCAACCACAACTTTAATTCATACACCCTTCCCCTTAGTTAATCTCAACTCCTTTTCACATTGTAATTTCAATTCCAACTTTCGCACCCCTCCCATCTCTCTCTCCACTATTACTCCCATCTTTAACTTCCACACCTCTCCAGCTACCTAACCCCAACCCTTCCCCATCCTAATCTCATCTCCCTCTCCACTACTCACTATAACTTCAAGTTTCACACCTCTCTTGCTACTCACACTCATCCTGTTATCCAACCCTAACCCTTTTTCACATTTTAATCCTAACTTCAAGTTTCACGCTCTTTTCGTTATCCAACCCCTCTCCACATCGCAATCCCATCTTTAGATAAAAAAAAACTTACATTTTTTTCATATGTGCATATGATCTTAAATTTGCATACATATAAAAACTATGCTAAATCCAATTCAATCTTAATGAACATAAAGGTGCAATATATTTATAATAAATATTGTGTAAGGGTGAGAATTGAAGTTGGAGTTAGATGGAGTGGTATGGTAAGAGTGTGATAGTAGAGTAGGGTAATGATTTATGGGAGGGAGAAGGGTTGTGATTTAGGGAAAGGGGTGTGGGGAGGGGGAAGGGTTGTGGTTAAGAAGAGGAGGTGGGAATAGAGGTGTGAGGAGGAGGAGGAATTGTGATCTAAGAAAAAGAGTAATGAGAATAGAAATGTGAGGAAGAAGAATGAGAAAAGTTGGCAATAGGAATAGAGGTGTGGAGAGAGGGAGGGGTGAGACAACAGAAAGGGAAAGAGAAAAAAGACAGATTTATGTACAATTTATGTAAAACATATTTAGAAATTTATTTGCAAATATTACTTTTAATTAATAAAATTTTTTTAATAACATGGCAGTGCTGAATTGGCTTTATGTATGTTAGTTCAGTATTTAATAAAAAAAAATTAACGGTAAAAACTAAATCTAAATTTCTTAATATTTCAGAAACTAAATTTTAATAAAAAAATTTATAATAACTTATCGCAAAATGTCCCATATTTATATAGACTAAAAATATAATTAAGCCTTATTTATAACAATAGATTCTTATTTAGATATAAAAATAATATAAAAAATACACTACTTTATGCACATTTGATTAGAATACTCGTCTTTAAACAATTTTTTACTATAAGACTTTATTTACATTTAATTCTAACAACAATCTTTATTATATATCTTTTATTCTCTAATTGATCTTATATGACTTTATTTAACAATTTTATAAATATATATTTTTAAAAATATAAATTCCTCTTCCAATTTAATTCTAAAATTCATAATTTATTGCACCATTTGTTTATCTCTAACTCAAATTTTCTTCCGAAAATAAAGTTTCACAACCATCTTTAATTACTCTTTTGATTCCTTCTTTAAACTTATTTTTCTTATTTTACTTCTATTTCACTTCATTTTTTTTAAAATCTTGCCACTAAATTATTCATAATCTAAATTTTCCTTCATTATTTCTCATTTCTCTTCTACTTTAGTTCACTTTTCTCTAAATCTTTCCACTAAATGAATCATATTCTAAATTATTCCTCGTTTAAAATTATATTACTGTTCATAAAAGCTCCCTGTACCATAAGGTTTGTTCTTTTGTTAACAAATGGCAACACTAGTTGCTAATGATGCATACAAAGAGACGTATTTTCGTAATGCCATCCTTTTTGCCTTCTTAACATACAAAGTTTTATATATAAAATTCATATTTCACCGTATATATTTATAAAATTACAATATATTGTTTTTTAGATAATTTTATTTTTTAAATTATATCTTATTATTTTAATATATATATATATATATATTAATTTAAATTTATTCTTGTGTCTTATTTTTCATAAAATAAATTTTAATTAGATAAATTACTTTTAAATAAAAACATAAAAAAACCAAATGATTCAATTTAATCTGATTCATTTTTAATAAAATGAAATTAAATATCATATCTAAATTGACTTAAACCAAGCTATTACATATTTTTATAGTCGATTTTTTTTATAAGACGATTCAAACCTACGAATATATAGCTATGTATAAAAGTCTCGATTTTGGAAAAATCGTCAATGGAAGAGTCCGAACCAACTTTCAATCAGTTAAATCCGACCCAGTTGAGTTGCCTTGACCCGTATAATCCAGAAGGAACTCGAACTTGCACTCACGTTTCTGAACTGAAACATTATTTGAATCTACCTACGGATCTTTTCTTGCTTTCCCCATTTACATTCCAAATATTATTATTCTTTTCTTCAATTCCTGAGTATAGCATACCTTTTCTCTTAACACTATTCTTTAGTGCCCCAAACCTCATTTACCCATTCTTCACGTTCCTCTCTCTTCCACAGGTTTGTTCCCCTTACCTCTTTTCATTTCTCCTTCGGTTTTTTTTTTTTTTTACCTTTCTATATTATATTTGTTATAAATAAATTATAGCAGGAGAGGAGTCATTGGGAATTATTATTGTTGTTGTTGTTGTATTACCCGCCCCATGTTTGCTATGTTAAATCATTGCGAATTATAAAATGTTTTAAACACGGTCTTAAAAAATGGTGTCATTGTGGTAGTTTGGATTGTTGATGATGCTAACTGATACGGGATCAATTTTATTCTATTAAAAAATACTGAATTGGGTGCTAGTTGAATTTTCGTTAGTGTAATTCCATGTTAATAACTGCAAAAACAAAATGTTAAATTTAGTGAATTTTTTTATCAAGAGTTCATGATAAATTTGATAAATTCCATGACAACACTCTCAAATGTTAAATTCAGGGTTTTATTTACCAACTTGGAAGGTGCTTGAATAATTAGAATTTCACTTTTTGTAAAGATGCATGATTTACTTTTTTGTCGCAGAATGAATTAGCTTCATTTGGAACGTTGTTGGTAAAAGTAGAGTTGGATGATTGTATCTTTAGTTTAAATTTGTACGTATTTGTTAAGTAGGCCCTGTTCAAGGGAGCTTTCCAATATGTTCAATGAGAGATTTCTAAAGTAAATGAAACATGTAAGTATGAGATAATATAGAGTCTCAACTGATAAATAGGAGAAAAGAAACACCGCAGGGTTTGAACAGGTTCTTAACTTTATTGTGTAGATTGCATAAATGATAAATCCATTGTCAAAAGGATGGCAAAATTACCATTGTAAGATGCATTCAAAGGTGGGAATTACGTTTGCTGTTTTCATTTCTGATTTAGTACTTATTGGCATATACTTAGAGGAGGTGTTTGTAAGAGGTTCAATGGAATTTATTTGAACTTATACTTATGAGAATAACTTGTGACTCTTCTTGGCTCTTTTTGGTTTATTTTAATAAGTTTCTTGGAGTAGCTTATCAAAATAAGCTGTTCTTTTTAGCTTGTTGTGATAAGTTTCATGTTCAAATTTAAATGTAAACTCTTATGTATTAAGAGCTTATAGAAAGAGTGCATGATTGAGCAGTTTACCTAAATGCAGCCATAGTCTTGCTTTTCACGGGATACTGTTATTTCTTTAATGGTTGCTGCTGATAGTGTAAGTAAATGATATAATGTGGTGTGACATGAATGAACTAAATAACTAGGGAGGGAGGTAATGGAATTCAGACTTCTAATGAATCTAATCAATTATTCTTTTCTTTTAATTTAGAAACTCTATCATGGGGGTTAGGCAAGCAATGCCCTTCTGTTCATGGTGTCAGAAACATCTTAAATTTTAAACATTTGAGCATTCCAGATATCCAGATTGGTCCTTATTTTCTTTTGAAACCTCAACGTTCCTAATGCCATAACACCCAATAACATAGTACAATGTAAGATCCTTTTTCTTTCTTTTTGTGGTAAATAAAATCATGAACTTCTTAGTAACCGTTCAATGAGGTCAAATAGACTAATTGCTGTGAAATCATATCGAAATTGAAATTTTTATTTCATTGGATGTGATTTAAACTAATACTGCTGTTGGACTATAGCATTCGTTCTGTTGATCTGGCGGCATCAGATGAATATGTTACTAGCCACACTTTTAAACAGTTGACATTTTTGGTATTTTCAAAACTATATTGTATCCTAGTTTCAAATAATATTTATGCAATTTACACTAATCTTCAAGTTCACTTCCAAATACAGTGAATTGGTTCTCTTCAGAATTTAGCTAGCCAGTGGCATAAAATATTTGTGTTAATGCCAATATGTATATTTGTAGGAATTTTATTTTGGATAGTTTCTGATGAATATTCTTGGCTTTGATTCAGGCAATGTAAACATGAGTGTTTGTGTTCCTATCAGTCAATCTTCTATAAATGTTGTTGTCCTGAGAGGTCGTAGTCAGCTGCTGATGAGCAGCAACAACTGTGGTCTTTGGTCCCGAGGAATATCCACTTCATTTTCTTCTGGTTTGTATTCTGGGAAGTCAGAGATAAATCATGTTGGTCTCTCTATTTGCACCAAACTGTCTTCTTCCACTACAATGGGCCAAACAATCAAAGGAGGTTTCCTTGGATCATGCTGCTCCAAGCAAAGGGGAAATACTCGATTCTTTAGTTCTCTAGTACCTCGAAAGAGGTATCATGAAATTTCATTGGCATGCCAAAATTTGAATTTGAGGCTTTTGGTACCTAAACAAAAATTGCTTTACAAAGTTAAGTGTAATTTGGGACCAATAAGTTGGCCACGAGGGTGTGCATCTGTTGGCTTGCTATTCGGATTACTTGTGTGTAATTTAAGTTCTGAACCTGCTCATGCTGAGGCAAATTCTGAAAATGAGAATCCAAAAGATGACTCCAACGAGTATCAGTGTAATGTTAAATTCTCTCATGGGAAGAAAGTTTATACTGACTATTCTGTAATTGGTGAGCCGAACATTCTGCTAAGACCCTGTAAATACACATGCACAGTCTATTCACATGTTTGCTTATGCATTAATACGCACATTGGTGTAGATAGAAACGAAGGCATTTGTATGCAATCACTGCATTATTTATGAACCTTACCATGCTGAGATGCTGAGCAGGAATACCAGGAGATGGAAGATGCTTGTTCCGTTCTGTTGCTCATGGGGCCTGTTTGAGGTCTGGAAAAACCCCTCCTAGTGAAAGAATTCAGAGAGAGCTGGCAGATGATTTAAGGGCCAAAGTATGTTTTCTGTATCACTATGCATCATGCTAATAAGTTTAGAATACACCCTTCCTCTTGGCAACCTTGAAACAAAGTAATGGTAAAACACAAAATGGAAGAATTGAAGGCACATTATTAATTACTATTCAAAGTGGTTGCTAACTTTATTTTGGTTGCTTTTCAAATTATTCTTATGGTTAGTCACAAATCAAACTGTTTGTAGTCATCTGGTGACTACCTCTGCCCGTGTTCCTGATTTTTGTTTGTTCTATTTGTCAGGTTGCTGATGAGTTTATCAAAAGAAGGGAAGAGACTGAATGGTGTGTTTCCACATTGTTAATTAGTGTTAAGTGTCAACCGCCGATGAATTAAAAGAAGATATGGAATTCCGGATGTTATTAGAGATCTAAAACAATAGCATAAAATTCTTTTAAATAATTATACCACCACATTCTTTCTTTATTTTCCTTATCTTACAGCTACTTTCTCACTTCTTATTACTTTTATTTATTTATTTATTTGTCCTTCTACTAATATCGTAGTATAAGTATATAAACCATGCATCACTTCGTTTAATGTATAATCATGGAAAATGATAAATGATTATTTATCAATGAATATGGTTGTCTCATCTCTTCAGGTTCATAGAAGGTGATTTTGATACATATATTTCACAAATAAGGAAGCCTCATGTGTGGGGAGGTGAACCCGAGTTGTTCATTGCTTCACATGTTTTGCAGTAAGTGACTCTTCCTTTCAGACAAGTCAATTCACCTTCCTTTAATGCAGTTCTGTACTGTACTATACACATTTGAATGTTGAGGCGAGGCCCATTCTGCAGGGTGCCTATCACTGTATACATGTATGATCAGGATGCCGGTGGCTTGATACCAATTGCGGAATATGGCCAAGAATACGGCAAGGAAAACCCAGTTAGAGTTCTCTACCATGGGTTTGGTCACTATGATGCATTAGAGATTCCTAAAAAGAAGGGTCTTAAGCCACGACTGTAGCATCTCATATTTAAAATTTGGAAGAGATTAAAACCTATATTGATTTCCTTTAGTAACATCTGTAATCTCATCTATAGGTCCAGTTGCAGGTGCCCAAATTGCAACTTTATGTCTTTCAGGTCTAGGAGAAAATATGGTCTAATTTCAAGGCCCCATGAACAATTATTCTCACTTTATTTCTGTGCCATGCACATGGCTCTTTATGTTGTATTTTTTATTGGTCTGAAGAATAAAGAGAGCCTTTAACTTCTGGTGGACCTTAAGGTTCAAACTATCCACGAACTCCTGTAAGCCTTTTCCATGAAAGGTAGAAATAGTGGTCTCCCCTCCTGTCAGTGCCTTGCCTACATGGGTTAAGATGCGTTTAGGGAAGCACCGTTTAGTTTTGAATAAAATCTGAATTTTGTCTTTAGGTTTAGATAAACTTGCATAAGAAGGGAAAAAAGTCAAAACAAGTAAAATTTATCTCGTCCGTTAACTTAAGTTTTTTGGTTTTTATAAAAAAAGTCATTTACTTTTTAAAATATAAAATGTTAATTTCAACTTTGAAAAGTATTTTATTTATTTTATCTTTTAATTTTGTAAAGGGCTTGCTCTGAATTTATATAAAAAGTAATGTTATCTTAACACACTATTTGAGTGTTTATACTAAGTGATTTATATAAATTAAAAATATTTATGCTATAATTGAATAGGGTGTTTAGAACAGAGACCTAAGCTAGGTTCTAAAATAATTTCATTTTCATATAAATCTTTTACATAAATGCGAATAATTATCAATTGACTATTGATTAAAAAAAATGAAAAATAACTTATTTCAATAATATTATTAATGTTTTAATGTAATTCTTAATATATATTTTTTGTGGTCACTAATTTATTTTTTTTTATAACATTTAAAAGATTAACTGTTAAAATATTTAGTTTTTCATTAAATTAATTTTTTTGAAGTTTTTTTATTATTTTTCTGTTTTTCGTATTTACGTTTACACCTCTTCTGTGCTTTCATTCCTTCGTTAGCTTCCATTGGGCTCACCATTTAAATATGTTTTGGTCGAATGCCCGCTTTCGGTTAGTATCAAAGATGGTTAACAATGTAAACATAATTAGTAGCTAAAGCAATAAAGGCAATTAAAATAACGAATTTGTTAACATTGTTAAGGAATGAAGTGGTAGTATTGGGGTTTTGAACTTATTACCTCGTACAAACTATCAAAAATTTTTAACATTACTTTATTTTTTTTTTTCTATCCAATTTAATCTGTATTTAACTTAGATCGCACGTTTAGAGGTAGTAAATGAGTTTATTATTAGATATTTTTTTTATATATAAAAACTTAAACTTAAAACCTTGTTTAAGCGATATTGAGTTGTTACTCATAATAGTAATTTAATTTAATGGCTTACAAATAAAAAATATTAAATAAAATAAAAATATAATTTTAAAAAAATTAATGAGATATATTTGACATTTTTAACCTGAATTTGTAGTTAACAAGTGTTCTGTCTATTTAAAACCTATTTTATATTTTTAGGTCTAATTAGAAAAAAATTAATATTAAAAAAATTAATGTAATAAACATTTTACTTTACTAGCAAAAAAATTACTTTTAATTTTTTTTTCTTTTTGTATTAGCTACATGAGAAATTAAAATAATTGTGTATATTTTTTTTTTCTAAATAAGTAGCAAACATATAGTTTTGATGAGATTTAAAACTATAATTTTATTTTTTATAATATTATTTTAATTATTTAATCATTAAGTACAAAGCACTAAATGTTTTTACATTTTTAAGGTACTAAACATTTTTATGATTAAATATTTTATAAAATATAAAAAATATTAGGAGAATGTTATAAAAATTTCTTAACATCTTTTATATATAATAATTAGATTTAATTATTTTTTTATTCTTGTAAAAGTAACAATTTTTGAAATAAATTCTTAAAAAAAATTATTATAATCTAGTTTCTGATATTTTAAAAATATTTAAAATTAATTCATGTTTTTTTTTATTAAACAATAAGTTAGATAATAAAAATTTAACTCATCAATATCATGTCATCATTACTTTTAATATTTTATTATTTAAATACAACTATATAGAAGAAAAAAAATTTCTTAATTTCTCTCTCTTTCAACTTCCATCTCTCTCTCCACATTAGACCTCATCTTTTTAATGTTTTTTTTATGACCTACGATGTTTGAAGCCCTTCCAAAATTCATTTTACATACTTACCTTTTATTCGACTCCAAAATCAAAATCTTCACATTCGTCATATTTTCTTTGTTTTCTCGTATCTCTTTGCCACACTTTTTGCTCGCCCTTTACCACCTACACCTTCTCGCCACCACAATCCTCATTGACCTCAAAATTTAGCACTCCAACTTAACAAACCCTTCTCTAACCAAAACCTCACAAATTAGATCACTCAAAGTCAAGTGCTTCAACATCACCACTACTACCACAAGGCTTAGAATTGGTAGATCAAAGTCCTAAAATTCTTCAAACACTCAACCCCATTTTCTTTCACCATCAAAACTCTTAAAGGACAAGATTGAACTAACAACTCGCGTTTCGTGAAACTCAGCACTTGAAGCTTCTTTGTGTTGATTGAAGTGTTTTGTGAGTGTTAAAAAAGAGGGTGTTTGTGTGTGTGTGTGTGTTTTTTTTTTAATGGTGGGAATTTTATGAGGTTTTGTGGCTGATTTTAAAATGAGTATGTTGGGAAATGTGTTTTTTGAAGAGTTTTGTAGGCAATTTTAGATTTACATGTATTTTTTGTACTGAAAGATAGAAGCTTTTAGTGTGTTTTATAACTAGTTTTGAAGATTTAGAATTAAAAGAGAAGGAGTTCAACACCTACAATGAAAAAGAATTAAAATAAAGTAAAATACAAAAATTAAAAAAAATGAATTAATTATTAATTTTTTAAAATATTAATTTTTACATAATAAAATTTTCAACATAATAATTATGTGACATTGATGAGTTGACTTCCGTTATCTAACTCGTTACTTAATAAAGAGAACATTTAATAACAAAAATTAATTTTAAACATTTAAAAAATGTCAAGTATTTTTGTTAGAAAAAAATTAAAAAATTAATTCTAAAAGTTACTTACTTTTAAAAAAATTAAAAATATAATTAAACTTGATAATAAAATTATTTTTACATTTTAAACATACAACAAGACAAGAGTTCCAAAGTTTGATAACAAATCATGATAGAATATTATAGAGGTGGTTTTGAGTTTTCCACTTAGCTTCTCACATGTCATTTTCTAATATTTTAAAAAGTTTATTTAAATTATATAACATCATCTATTTATTTAAATTTTATTTCATTATTTCAAATTTTTTTAACTTTTCACATTTTTCAACCTCAATTTTTATATATAATCTTTACAATTATTTTTTATTTTCTTATTAAATATCAATAAAAGTGCACATATTTGTAATGACTTGAAAAGTTACATACTATATTACTTATATTAATCTTATATAAATAAAATATACATTTATAATATTACTTTTATGATATAATTATAATAAATTTTACTACCTTTAATCTAATTCTTACGAGTTTCAAAAAATAATATTTAAATATTTATTTAATTTAATGCTTTTATATTTATTATTAATATAAAATTTAAAAGTCATAAACATTTAGTGTAAGTAATTAATTAAACTGATAATCGTATCTATTTAGAATTTTATGAATATGATAGTTTAAAATTAATTATTGATATAATGTTATAAGGAATATAAATAAATTATAAAATAAAATTATACTAGTTTGTTAAATTGAATTAATATGATAAATGAATTGATCATTTAATTTTATTAAATTTAATTGATAATTATATTAATAATTGATTTATATATAATGTCAATAAATTAAATTAATTATTTTGAAACATGATACCAATTTATTACATAACATTATTTTATAAATAAAATATTTATAAAGGATGTGCATTAAAAAATGGAGTTAAATACTTAAAATTTTTAAACATAATTGTTAACAGTGATAAATGAATAGAATAATTCATTTAAATAAATATTTTTTAAATTAAAAATTTTGCTAAAAACAGTATGAGAATTAAGAATAGGAAGAGAATAATATGAAAAATATTTATCTCTCAACTTTCACTTTTGATTTTCTTTTATGAAGTTAAAATTGTAAAAAAAATAAAAATACTGTATACTATTTTGTATATAACATATATAACATTAATATAAATTCCGAGAACATACTATAAGAATTATTACTTATAGATTTTTTGCTAATCAATCACATAGATTTTATAACTTATACTTTATCACTTGGATCTTTTATTTAGACCAAACTACTAATTTGTTCATTTAAATATTTATAAATATTGATGTTGTCATTCAAACATTTATAATATCAGTTAAGTACTTCAAATATCGAAAAATATAAATATTTTTATTTTAATATATAATAATTTGATAAAATAATTATTTTGATATCATTTGAAAAATTTATTCAAAAATCAAATTAAAGTATAGCATATTTTTAGTTCATGTAAATACAACTACATTTTGTTTTATTCATGCAATTTTATTTATTTATTTATTTTTACTTTGATTCTCATAAATTTTAATTTATTTTTAAAAACAATCCTTATCACCATTTAATTTATTGATAATGTTGCATGTCATGATTAGGAGTATGTCATAGAATAGTTAAGTGACAATAGTAACTAATTTTGAAAAAAAGTAATCATATTTTGACAATCTTTTCTCCATTACTATTTGATTATAAAGAAGAAAGAGAAAGTAAGAAAAGAGAAATGTAAAAAATGTAATACAAATAAATAATGAAAATAAGATGTAAGAAGAAAAATGTGTGAAAATATTAGTATTATTTTAAAAAAATCTAATTTATTTATATTTATAAAGATTTAAAATATATTTAAACTTCTAAATTAATATGAATTAAAGTTTTGAGATACTAATAAGTAATATTTATAGATAAATTACATTACTCTTACTGGTTAAAATATACACTAATAAAAATATATTGTTAGCATAAAATCTATCAAATTTATAAGCTTAAAATGAAAGAAAATAAGAGATAGAGATAGGGAGAAAGAAATGGAGAGACAATTGGAACCTGATAAAAAAATATTAACAATAATTTGATTTGAAAATTTATTTATTTTTAATTATAAAATATTATCTTATTTTTATTTAGTTTTTACTTTTTTATTTTCAATATTTTTATACAAATTTTAAAAAAAAATAAAATGAAACAAAAATTACAGTTACTAATTAATAATAAAAATAAAAAA